GTTCCGTGGCCGAGTTCATGTAAACTTCGTTGTCAACACTAATCCTCCTAAGTCCTTTCAACAGTTGTTTTTAGTTGTGTGTAAAGTAAGCCTGATTCTCTTATTCTAGTTAAATTGGGGTAGAATTCCTTCCTCCTTGCCATGACCACTGTGGTAGAGGCAAGGGGAAGCCCTGTGCCTGTTAGACATGTGCCTGTTTACAAGGCTGGCCTTCAGGTGACCCCAAGCTTCCCCTCTTCCTACAGTCCTCCATAACTCTTCCAATTCTTAGATATTAAAAGCAACATCCTACCAATGACAGGACAGGCCTAGGGAGTGGAGTAACTTTTCTAAGGTCACAGGTCATTTTTCTTGTAGGTCTGAGTACTTTAGTATTTAATTCGGGTCACGGAAAGTACTTTAAAGGCATCACTGAGGTAAGAGCTGAGTGCATGAGTGGGAGTCTGAGACTTGGGGAAGGAGAACCCGCACTGCTAAATGCTCTGTTTCCTGCATGCTTACGTGGTGCCAGGTCCCGACACTAGGTCACTGAATGTGTCCAGTGACCTTCAGCTAAACCTGGTTTTACAGAAAAGGAATCGAGCCTTAGATCTGTGCAATTAGGGAAGCAGGACAATAGAGTGGCAAGAGAAAGGCTGGTTAAAGACCCTGGGCTCTTAAACTTGCTCCTCTGTGAAACTGTGCTAAGTGTACTCACTTCCAGGCTCTCCATTCCAGGGCACATGGCCCTTAGTTCGCCCTGCTTGTGGGCCACTTTTAATCTGCAGGGTCACCTTACACCAAAGCCAGGGGTGTCCCTGAGTACTCCCAGTGCCCCCAGGAAGGTTGATTAGGCAGGCCCTAAGACCTAGTCCTTTCTTCAAAGCATCAAAGTGGATTATTCCGGTCAGGTCCCTCCTCCTTGGGAATTTCTTTCACCTGTGAATGGCCTGGTCGCTGGCTCTGCCCCCTAGGAATATTCAAACGGTGCCATTTCCTTCCTCTCAGTAAAGCTTGCCCTGAAGCTGAACTGGAGTAAGTCCAGCCCCTGTCTCTTCTCCATCCCCCACCACTGCTCCAGCAGGTCAACTGTTTTTCAACTCTTTAAGTCAGTGAACGTTAACATTTTGCTGGAATATTTTGTATTCTTTCCAACATCACTGGCAATTGTGATAACGGTACTACTCACTTCATATGTAATTCATTTCTAATTTTGTGTCAGTTTAGGGTATAATGTGAAGATTAAGTACACATGTGTATTGTTGAAATGATTACCATAATAAGGTTAGTTCACACACCTGTCCCCTCAGTGACCTTTGTGTGGGATGAGAACATGTAAGAACTACTCTCAGCAAACTTTCAGATACACAGTACAGAATTGTTAGCTATAATCACCACACTGCACATCACATCCCAGACTTACTCACCTGATAACTGGAAGTTTGTGTCTTAACCACTGTCAACTATTACCCCCACCCCAGTCTCTGGCATTTCTGTGAGTTTTATTGAAATCCATGTATCGATGAGATCATTAATATTTGTCTTTGATTATTTTACTTTGCACTATACCCTCAAGTTTCCTCCACATCGTCACAAGAGGCGGTGTTGCCTTCTTGATGTGTGTGTGTGTGTGTGTGTGTGTGTGTGTGTGTGTGTGTATGTAGTCTGTTGTCTGTTTCTTTGCCCATTACTCATTTCTCAGGCCACAGGCATCTGGATTGTTCCCCTGTCTTGGTTACTATCAATACTGTTTCTGTGAACATAGGTGTATAGGTAAATCTTCGAGATAATGATTTTATTTCCTTTAGGTATAGAAACTAGGAATGGAATTCCTGATTTATATTAACTATATTTGTATAATCTTCTGAGGAGCATAAACAGTCCCTGCTTTTCACTTTGTCATCAGAACTTACCTGTCTTCTAGTACGGCCATGGTAAGGTGTGAGATGACACCTCGTAGTTTGACTAACATTTTGCTGATTGGTGATGTTAAGTGCCTTTTTGTACCTATTTGCCTTCTGTAACTCTTTGGGAAGATGACAAATCAGATCCTTTGCCCAGTTTTAAATGAGATTATTGGGGTTTTGTTATCAAGTTTCATGAGATCCTTGTATATTATGGATAGTTAGCCATTTATCAGTTATATGGCTTGCAAATCTTTCATTCTCTAGATTAATTTTTCAGTTTGTTGATAGCTTTTCTTGATTTGTTTGTTTTTTATATCATTCTTCATTTTGTGCCTTTTTCCATCTCAGTTGTAATCCCGGTAGACTTCCCACCACCAACTCACCCGTGTGCCATCACCATAGTCCCGTGCACCTTTCCCACCCCATTTTTGATCCCATTCCCCATGCCACCCCTGTAAAATGTCTCTGCTGCATAGTTTTTCATTGTTTTTCAGTTTTTTCTTTATTACAAAGCTCCCCATCTCCACCACCCCAGTCCCTTACACTCCTTCTATTAGTGAAACCATCCAGTAATTTTCTTTCTGGCTTATCTCACTAAGCACGATCCCTTTAGCTCCATCCATGTTGCTGCAAAAGGCATAAATTTATCTTTTTTGACTGATGAGTAATATTCCATTGTGTATATATACCACATCTTTTTAATCCAGTCACCTACTTTTGGGCACTTTGTTGATAATTACTTTGGCTGTGCAGAAGCTTTTTCAGTTTGATGTATGCTCACTTGTTTATTTTCACTTTATGCTTATTTTCAGTTATGCTTTTGGTTGCTTTCCAAAAAGTTGTTGCCAAGACCAATATCAAAACATTTTCCCCTTAAGAGTTTTGAATTTCAGGTCTTACATTGTCTTTAATCTAGCTCAAGTCAATTTTTATGAATGGTATGAGTGCTTCATACTTTTACATGTGGATATCCTTGTCAAATTGTAGTCATTTCGTCAAGTATTTGTTGAAAAATATGTATACATTGGGAACATGGATGAATTTTAGGTCTTGATTCTATTTCATTGACCTATGTGTCCACTTTTAATGCCACTATGGTATTAGTCTATTTATATTTTCTTCTACAGTAGAAACACTTTTAATTAGGTAATCCTAATTGTTTGGTTTTGCTTTTATTTCCTTGGTCATAGGGTTTAAGTCTTCAAAAAACATCTTTCTCATTGATGTCACAAAGGGTATCACAAATGTTTACTTCTATGTATTTTGTTGCTGTAGGTCTTTGTATCTAAGTCTTTAATTCATTTTGAGTTTTATTTTTGTGTATGAAGTTGGAGAGTGTTTCACTTTCATCCTTTCAATACCTCTAACCGTTTTCCCAAGCATTGTTGTTTTCTTTTTGTTGAGATTTGTTTTCTAGTTTGACATATATTCTGTTGTGGAGAATTTTCTGTCTGTACTTTAGAAGAATTTGTTTTCTGCTGCTGTTAATGGATTCCTCAATATGTGTCTGTCATGTGCATTTGGTCTATAGTGTTCTGTGGGGTTTTTTTAAGATTTATTTATGCATACAAGGCCAGAGGTACAGGGGTGAGATGATTCACCAGAGACAGTGGGGAGCAGAACAGGCAGATTGGCTGAAATACACTGCTGATGGGAGCAGCAGGTGAGAGAGGAGAGGTCTACTGTGCCTGATGGATTCCCTGGCCAGGGATCAACTCAACTGCAGTGGCTGCAGGTAGCTTCATATTGCTGAGCCTTAACCCTTTGCTTCACCAGGGGGGCCCTGGTCTATAGTATTAATTCAAACCCACTGTTTGCTCATTGATATTCTATCTGAATAATCTACCCATGGTTCAATGTGAGATGGTAGCATCTCCTGCTACCGTTGTATTGATGTTTATTTCTCCTTTTAGTTGTTAGTGTTTTTATTTTAATAAATTGGTGCTCTGTGAGGCACAATGGTGATGGATCATGGATGATGTGATGGAAGTTATGGGAACTACATCTGAGGGATGAAATAAAATATTGTACAAAAAAGAACAACATTGTAGGATAAAAAATAATCTCTGATGTTGGGTGCATAAATATTTACAATTTTAAAAAGATTATTTACTTATGCATATAAGAGCTGGGGTACAGATCAGAGGTGCAGAGTAGGGTACGAGGTTTCACCAGAGACAGTGGAGAGCAGTACAGACAGACTGAAACACACTGCTGTGGGGAGCAACAGGTGAGATGTCATGTGGGTCACCTCCCTGGCTGGGGATCAGACGCCTACTGCAGTGGCTGGTGATAACTTCATAGAGCTGCAACTTAATCCCTTGCACCAGGAGGGAGGCCCCATATTTACAATTGTTTTACCTCCTTAATGAATTAACCTCTTTGTTATTATGGAATGACCTTGTCTCTTGTGACCATTTTTAGCTTAGAGTCTGTCTGATATAAGAACAGATACATTGTTCCCTGTTGATTATCATTTGGAATATATTTCTATGCCTTCACTTTCATCCTATATCCAGCAAGCTAAAGTGAATTTCTTGTAGACTGGATCTTTTTCCTTTCCATTCAACTATTTTCTGTCTTTTGATTAGAGAATTTAATTCATTGCCACTTATAGTAATGACTGATAGGTAAAAACTTAATGTTGACATTTATTAACTCTTGGCCTTTTACAGTTCCTTTGTTTCTTCCCCTCTTGCTGTTGTCTTTGTGGTTTGGTTCCTTTATAAGCTCTTTTGGATACGTGCTACAATGCATTTCTGTGTATTTTCTCCGTTACTCGGGCTTGCATAGCATAGCTTTCTGGCTGCTGATTGGAGCACCTAACAGAGGGGTTGCTACAATCTCATATTTGCCTTTGCCAACCCTGCCTTTGGCCTCACGCTCAAGGTGTTCTCATTGAGAGCAGGCCTGATGTCCTCTGACAGGAAACAAATTTGCCCTCTAAATGTCTAAAGGAAAAGAAGGCATGCTACCCAGGGATCTTCCAAGCCAGGCATCTTTCCAACGGGTGAGAAGACACCATGGGGTTTTGGCATCTCATGACCCCTTCCTGAGCCTTTGCCCCTAATCTTGTAAGTTCAGTAACATCTGCTAGTTATCTTTAAATATGACCGTACACTAGCCACCACCTGTGATCCATTACTACAAGGAAAACACAAACCCATGATATGGTTTAGGTTGAGGCAACACTTCTCAGCACGTGGGAGTCACCTGGGAGATCTTCAAAGCACAAACAGTGCCAGGTCTCATCTTCAGGGATCCCAATTTAATTGGTTTGGGGTTCAGCCTGATCATTAGGTTTTTAAAACACCCCAGGTGGGAAAGCTACTGAAAAGTGAATAAAGTCCATCATGGCGAGAACCCCTCACAGCTCTTTGAAGGCTGAGATTTTTTACTTCAGCTTGCACAATAAAAAATGAAGTCTGTTCTTGGAAAAATGCCTCCCATGAAAGCTGCATTTAAAACTTCATACAGGCCTTCCTTGGTGGTGTGTCAGGTTAAAGCACAGCACCATGGAAGCTATCCTCAGCCATTGCAGCACCAGTTCGATCCCCAGCCAGGGAGCTGACCCACTTTGTGTGGCAGACCTCTCCTGACCTGTCCACTGCTCCCCTCAGCAGTGTATTTTAGCACCTCCCTGTTCTGCTCCCCACTGTCTCTGGTGAATCCTCTCACCCCCCACACCTCTGGCCTGACCCAGTTCTTGTGTGCATAAATAAATAAATCTTAAATATATAGAACTTCATACAAACAGCTTGCTGAAACACCATTTGGGGATTTTAGTCTTTTTCATCTCTGTAGAATGGCCTGTTTCATGTGCTTCTAGGAAACAATGGCAGAGCAGTGACTGGATAATGAAAAGCTGAGCAGAGGTGCTGACCACTAGTAAAAGTAGTTAAATGGAGTGAGCACTTTGCAGTGTTGCTTCACTGAGTCCTCATAAGAACCCTATGAAGCACCTACAAACTGTGCCTATTTTCCAAAAAAATTAAACTGAGATACAGAGAGGTATCTCACCCAGGTTGCACAGCTGGTAGACCCACAGCCAGGACAGGAAAACCGACTGTTGGGGGCCTGCGGTGGAAGGTAGGAAGGATACCAAGGACTTCATGAGACAATAGTATAGGGCAGTGGTGGGGCCTGGCCATGGTGGACTTTATGTGAGCACATGGGAGGTGCTTCTGGGGAGCCACCATACTGGTTAAGAGGCTCTTGAGACATCTTGGTTGAGCAAGCCAAGCCATGAACCTAGTGTCTGTGGTTGCATGGCTCTTGGTAGAAACTGCGCCAGACCCACTGGCTGATAGGCTTGGGGAAATTCAATGTTTCAGGCTAATTCTAAATGAACTGAGGTTCATGTGTAAATCACAGAGCAAGATTTAATGTTTAAAGAAGTATAGGGTAAATGCATTAATCAGGCCTTTTATGCCACTAGCCTTGGTGGCTACCACCTGCAGCCTTGATGGTGTCTGTGCAGAAGGGGCTTGGAGTATAGGTGCCTGCTTGTGGACAGCTGGAGTATGGTGTGGGTATGCATAAGTGTGCTCACCTGAGCCCATGGGCGAGGCTGTGAGGTGATGTCTCAGAGACAGCTGATGGCTACCAGGGGGTGAGCAGGGTGACTACAGTAAAGGTGAGACCATGACAGAATGCCAGAAAAAGAGAGCATAAAGATTCATGGTGGGGAGAGTCAGTTGGGGACCTCACGTTGCTATCTCCTCCTTGCTTGTTTCCCCTGCTTACTGTTAAAACCTGTGGGGACGATGCCAAAGGCTTCCAAGGGTCTCGTTCATACTGTAAGAACCAATGGTGAACCTACCTAGCCTGGGGTGATTACACAACATGAATGTAAGAGACTTGTCACTTGGGTGGTAAGGGGCAAAGTAGAACCTTCCTGAAACGACCCTGTACACACTGTCTGAGCCAGAAGAATGAGGGGGTGAAGTCATTTTAATTTTTCTGTTTATAGCTGATCACTATCTTTATTGCCTAGAGGTAACATGTGTGTACCTTGCTTTTCTGA